ACACAGTGAATCATAAGCATAATGTCCACCTTCCTCTTGTTTCTCTATTTTTTTTTTCTAACAGGAATCAGCAAGCTGCTGCTGTATTTTCTTTTTCTTTTTCTTTTTTTTTTCTTCTTTCCTTTGTTTTTGTCATTGTTTTAAAGTTCTAGGAATGGGATGCAGGGTTTCACACATTTGAGGGAAGTATTCTACCGCTGTAAAATTAATTAACTTGTTTGTTTATTCATTCTTTATTTATTTATTTTCCAGGGTCTTGCTTAGTTGCCCAGGCTGCTCTTGAATTTGTGATCCTCCTGCCTCAGCCTCCCCATGGGTATGTGCCACCATGCTCAGCCCAGAAAACTTTTTCTAAAAAGGCCCAGTGGTAAATATTTTTGATTTTTATTTGTCTCTGTTGGGACGGCACACCTCCGCAGTTGCAGTGCAAAAGCAGCCAGGCATGACTATATTCCAGTAAAATTTGATTAACAAAACATTTTACAAATCTGCTGGGTACTGCGGCACACACCTGTAATCCCGGTGACTTGGGAGGCTCAGGCAGGAAGATCATGAGTTCAAGGCTAGTCTCAGCAACTTCATGAGACTTTGTCTCAAAATGAGAAAATAAAAAGGGCTGGGGATATAGCTCCGTGGTAAAAATGCCCTGGGGCTGGGGTTCAGTGGGAGAACACTCACAGGAACTACCATAGATGGGTGCCTAACACAGGAGAGGCCCTGGGTTCAAACCTCAGCACTGTGAATTTTTTTTTTTTTTTACAAATCTTTGAAATCCTAAATTTGATTTACAAAAACAAGAGACCAGACCACAGGCTATATCTTGCTATGAAGACACTGAGGAGCTAGGTTTGGAGGCCCTCCAGGCCCTTCTACCTGGCATTAGGCAGGAGAATGTGTGTTGCCCAGAGGCCACGGGCCAAGGGAAAGGTTAGTCCTCCTCCGGGCATCCACCGTGTGTGTTTAGTTGGATTCCTTTCCTAACACTTGATAATCAGTAATTCTTATCCCTTTGGGAGTCATGGCGACTAAGAACTTAGGCTGGGTACTGAGTGTAGTTGAGCAGGACTGTCATCCCAGCAGCTAAGGAGGCTGAGGCAAGAGGATCGTGAGTTCAAAGCCAGCCTCAGCAACTTAATGAGGCCCTAAGAAACTTAGCGAGACTGTCTCTAAATAAAATACAAAAAAGGGCTGGGGATGTGGCTCTGTGGTTAGCACTGCTGGGTTCAATCTCCAGTACCAAATAATAATAATGATGATGATGATAATTGAGTGGCAGAGCCTAGCATGTGCAAGACCCTGGGTTCCATCCCCAGTGCTGGAAAAAAAAAAAAAGAAGAAGAAGAAAAAGGAGAAGAAATGTCTATGTGTGTATATAAAATAAAATGGAAAATCCTCAGAACTCAATCTGGTAATCCTGGGGCATCCTCCATCCTGCAGGTGCCCGTGCCTCCAGGGGAAAGAGTCTTGGGGTTCAGGGGCCTGCCCCTGGGGTGCGGAGAGGGCATTACCCCCTTAGTGACTGGATTCTGCTGACCACTGCTCTTCCATGCCCGGCCAGGGTGTCCTTCTGCACATTCCTGGCACATGAGTACCCTGACCTGGTGCACAAGGTGATCATGATCAATGGCGGGGGCCCCACCGCCCTGGAGCCCAGCATCTGCTCCATCTTCAATATGCCCACGTGCGTCCTGCACTGCTTGTCGCCCTGCCTGGCCTGGAGCTTCCTCAAGTGAGTGCCCCCATCCTGGAGATACTGCTCTTGGCTCTGGCAGACCCTGGCATCTCTCAGAGTTGGGGGGGGGAGGGAGGCTAAACAGCTGGGTCTGGCATGGGGGACACCCTGTGGAGCGCCGGCTGGCGAGGGGTTCAGACGGTGTCTCCCCACCACCAGGGCCGGCTTTGCCCGCCAAGGAGCCAAAGAGAAGCAGCTGCTGAAGGAAGGCAACGCGTTCAACGTGTCGTCCTTCGTGCTAAGGGCCATGATGAGCGGCCAGTACTGGCCCGAGGGCGACGAAGTCTACCACGCTGAGCTCACGGTGCCTGTCCTGCTTGTCCACGGCATGCACGACAAGTTTGTGCCAGTGGAGGAAGACCAGCGCATGGCGGAGGTAGGAGCAGGGTACCAGGGCAGCCACCCCTGGAAACCCACTGTGCACAACCCTGGGGGCGTGGCCTCCATGTGGGCGTGGCTTCGGGCCAGGGTGGCCCCTAAATGGGTGTAGTTTCTAGGTCGGGGTCTGTGTATGGGCTGGGCTCTGGCGTGTGTTCTGACCCCAAGGAATTGGGAGCATCAGATCTAGAGTCAAAGGTAGAACCTAGAAAATGGCTCCCCAGACAGGTAACAATTATGCCCCATTCCCCCTGCAGGCAAGCAGACCACGGCAGGGGATTTGTAGAAGAGATCAATGTTGCTTGTATAATTTGGGGGAAAGGGGTGAGGCAGGGGGTCTTTAGAGGTTCCAAGGAAAAGATACGGGAACCCTTAGTACTTAGGATAGCTCTGAACTGGGCGCTTCTTAACCAAGGAGGATCCTTGCCTCCAGGTCACACGTGGAAATGTCTGCAGACTATTTCCAGAGGAGAGAGGGGAGGGCGGACTCCGGGCATCTGGTGGGTGGAGACAGGGAACTGCATACCATCTACCATGCACTCCGCAGCAAAGAATGATCCAGCCCCAGATGTCAGACTGCTGAGATTGAGAAATCCTCCCCTTTCATACCATAGACACTAAATGAGTGAATATCTGGTTGGGCTCCCACAGGGTGACAGGCCATCCTCCAGTTCCCTCTGGAGTGGAACTAAAGGGTTGAAGGGTAGACTGCAGGAGGGACTTCCTGGTGTGGGCCCTGCATGGAGGTGGGGAGTCCCAGGGCAGCTGGCCCCTCGCCGCCCCCATCCTGAGCCCCGCATCCCTGCAGATCCTGCTCCTGGCCTTCCTGAAGCTTATCGACGAAGGCAGCCACATGGTGATGTTGGAGTGCCCGGAGACGGTCAACACGCTGCTCCACGAGTTCCTGCTCTGGGAGCCGGAACCCTCGCCCAAGGCTCTGCCCGAGCCCCAGCCCGAGCCTCCAGAGGAGAAGAAGTAGCCGCCGGGCCGGCGGGGCATCGCTTGGCGAGCAGAGCCGCAGGAAGAGCCAGAGCCTGCGCTGGTCCGCGGCGCGGACCACCTGGGCGGGCCGTTCGCCCCGGTGGGCGGGGTCAGTCAGGGAGACGCCCCCAGGCCGGCTGGGCGGGGCGTGGCCTCGGAGGGAGCCGGGAGACCCTTCCGCTCGCTCGCTCTCTGCTTCGGAGCCCGTCGGTGTTTCGGGCCGCGGCCAGGGCCCACGCGGAGGATGACCTTGTACAGAAGCCCTCGTCCCCTCCCCAACGCCACACCGAGGCAGGTCCCCCACCCCGCTCTGTCTTCCGTGTCAGCCGTGCTTGATCCTGGGACCCACAAGCCCCGCTGGGACCCTCGTGGGTCCGGTCCCTTTGCCCGAGACCCCACCCTACTCCTCATTCCTTGGCACTGGGAGCTGTTGTTGCCCAAGGGGGGAGGGATTGGGAGAGGGGCTGGCGCCACCAAACCTGCACATCTCAACTTGTAACTCAATAAAAAGAAGTGACAATCGGAGTCTCCGGGCTTGTGTTGGATGACCTTAGGGCAGGGCTTTCTTTGCCCCGCTACCCCAGTCTGCTCTCCCATCTGCAGCCTGGCCTGAGGCGCCTCCCCTCGGGGGTGACCTCGAGAGCCTCGGGGACCCCAGGCTGGCTTCCTGAACAGGCGCACACCCTGCTTTCTAGAGGCCGCTTGGCCAGTATGGCTGGGTGCCAGGCCGTTATCAAGGGGTGCGCTTCTGCCCTGGAAATGCAAGAGGAGGTCCAGCCAAGATTGAGGATCAATGGACACCGCAGGAGATTATAGCTGCAATAATTGAGCACCCACTGTAGCACTCAATACCAGGCCCTGTATTGAGTGCCTGGCACCCAGCTGTTGAATCCTCAGGCTTCCCAACCCCAAACCCTTTACTGTTCGCATTCTAAACTGTATTCGAGCGCAAGTCTAGGTCTCTCTATGTGCTTCATGTGACCAGTGGGAGGAGGGAACTGTCTCCTCGGTTTTCCCCACTGGTTTGTGAACCAACTTCGTCTAGACTTGGGGTTGTCATCTGGGGCAGTTGTGTCCACTGTCAAATCCTGGAGACCTTTCGACGGCCACACGGGAGGTGACGGGGGTGGGGGTCGGCTACTGGCATCTAGTGGGTCCAGGGCTGCTGCTCAACAGGCAACGAGGTCCAGGGCGGCCCTGTGGCTGTGTAATCCACCCCAAATGTCATTAGGGCCGGGATTGAGAAAGCCTGGTAGAGAAATTCCCACTCTTTGGGGTCTTTGGATTCTTTTCCAGTGACCTGCTTGTGCACTGCAGGGTGACAGCCCATTGTCGAATTGCTGTGGCTTTATCAGCTCTGGGGTCTGGGAGTGTTGACTGTGGTTTTCATTTGTTTTTGGTACCGGGCATTGAACACAGGGGTGCTTAACCACTGAGCTACGTCCCCATCCCTTTCTATTTTTTGAGACAGGGGCCCGCTGAGTTGCTTAGGGCCTTGCTAAACTGCTGAGGCAGGCATCCTCCTGCCTCAGCCTCCTGGGATTGCAGGCATGCAACACCACCACCAGCTGGGAGTCTTCTGTTTCACACAGAAAGAAAGGGAGACTCTAAAAGAGATTTCTCCAGCGGCAGGACCCAGGCACACTCCACAGGCCGGACCCTTAATTGTAAGAGCAGCCTAGGGGACAATCCCAAGTAGGCGGAACCTCTGCCCAGGTACAGTCCGCCCCTGCAGGACCTCGTTGGCTGAGTTGTGATGATGGGCAGGTGGTGTAGCCAATGAGGCAGATCTCCCCAAATCCCTAAACCCACTGAATCTTCTAAAGACGAAACTTTCTCAGAAACTTAAAACAACCCCTACATACGCCCTCAAAACCATATCTCTGACAACACAGCAGCAACAAGTCACCAGGATGGCAGTTTGGCATTTACTGAAGCTATCTGCACATGTAAACGATGTGTAGACACAGCGCCCCGAGGATCGGGTTGGTAACTCCCTGTTCAGTGGAAGAAATGAGTCCGGGCGAGGAGGCTGGGGTGGCACTGCCACCCTGAGGACCCGGGAAGACCTCCTGGGCCTGCCCACACCGCCACAGCCCCCCGACTTCCCTCCGTTGGAGATGTGCCACCTGGGCTCAGTGCTAGGCTGTCACACACTGTTCACATGACCCCCGTTGAGTCCCTACAATGATCCCGAGGCAGGACCTCAACTGCCCTCATTGTAATTGAGGAAACTGAGAGTCAGACGGAAAAACCCCTGGCCGCAGGTCCCACAGCCCGGAAGTAGCAAACCTGGCTCTGGAGCTGAACAGATGCCCTCCATGTGGCTGAGACGGTCATTGGCCGTCCCTTTATATGGGTTGCGGGTCTGGAGATTAAAGGTGGACTCTGTCCACAGATGGGACCAAACTGCCCAAGCCCCACTGTTCCAGAGCACCCTGTGGCTCCCCACTGGTCTTCTCCATGACAGGAGCACCGTGCCTCCCCAGCAGCGCCTCCCTCCCACAGTTCTCCCTCAGCCTGACAGGGGGACCGACCCTGGGCTCCCTACACACGCACAGGCACGAGCGCACCACACACACATGCACGGCACGCACACACTCTTACACATCCTGCCGTCTGAAGCTAGAGGCGGCCGTGCTGTCAGCTTGGAGCAGCTGGGATACCCAAATACCCTGACCTCCACCCAAACTGGACAGCCAATCCCCAGCCTCAGCCACGGGCCTGGATGTCCTGAGGCCGCAGCTCTCGCTGGCCCTCGGCCAAAAAGACAAGGAGGGCACGGTGTAGCAGATGCACCCCCAAGCGCCGTCGCCGATGGCGGGGCCAGTCTGCCACCACTCCGTAGTAGTGCCCTTGTTTCTGGTTGGTCAGTTTCTGGATTCCTAGAGAAATTAGAAAAATGGGGTCAGAGGGGTGGCCTCAGGGTACCCCTCCACCAGAAATATGTGACAGCAAACCCAAAATGGGTTGCCTTCAAGTAAGGATAAACAAAGGGAGCAAAATTCATGCAAATTCAGGTACAGGGTTGGTGCTCAATAATTGCTTATTCACTGAATAAATGAGTGAACAACTCTGAAAGGGAAGAGGTGAGGCCCCACATCTTAGGTACCCACCTAGAGCATCCACAAGACACGCCTCCCGAGTGTAAGCCTCCACCGCCACCACGTGTTGGAAGCAATGCAGGGAGATGACACCGCGGCCACTGTCCCAGATGTCCAAGATCTGGCGCACTTTGGGGCATGCCTGGAGGGCCAGGGCAGTGTCAGAGGTTGCCTGACCCTGGCTGGCTCCCCCGGCTGGACCTTCATCCTTGACCTCAGGCCTATTTTCTCTTTCCTTTGTCTTTTTTTTTAGGTTTTAGTTTCAGGAAACTTCTGGGCAAACACTTGGGATACAGGCCCCTCCAGGGCCCCTGATGGGAACCGCAGGGCTTCCGGGGACAGAGAGGGGTGCGCTCACTGCTCTTGAGCAGAGGAGTGAAATAAGGCAGGACGAGGGGCGGGAAGTAGAGGGACGCTTGACCCGGCAGAGGGAAGGAGCTTTGGGACTGCGGGTGGCCATTCCCAGCAAGCACCCCAACTTAAGTAAAGGATACCAAAGTGGTGTACGATCAATGCGGCCTGATACCTGTTTTCTTGGCCGTCCACGGTAGCCAAGGGCCTCCCAGAGGTGGGCATCTGGTCGGGCACGTGTCCCCTTGCCCACATAGAAGATGGCACGAACGAAAATCTGAAAACACTCGGCTCGGGTCAGCGAGAAGGCTCGGGCTGGCAGATCCTGAGTCTCCCTGGATAGAGGGGGACCCTCAGAGAAGGAAAAATGACCAGTTGTCCCATTGCCACTACCCAAAGTCACAGAGCAACTTGAACCCACATCCAGCAACCCCCATTTTATAAGACCAGGAAGGGTGGCTGCTCCCCAAGGATACTCAACTGTTTAAAGTTGGGTTCAATCACTTTTTTATGAAGAAACTGATGACCAGAGAGGGCTGGTCCCTTTCTTAAGAACACACAGCAAACATAAATCACTCCCCAAATTTTCTAGTTTCCATCTCTGGGTCTTTCCTGCGCCAAGTACCTGGGGTCTAGCAGCAGATATGTGAAGCTGGACTTTACAACCCCCTCCCGCCACCTCTTCGTGGGATCTGGTTGCTCAAACTGCTGGGCAAGTGCATCTTCATCGGACTGAGCATCTGGAATATGGCCTGTCCGTAGGGCCTTGGCCAGTTCTGGACTGTACCCGGAAAACTCTGGGCCTGGGAGAGGAGAATAAGTCAGGGGAGATGGAGGAGGAGGTGGTTCTGAGAGCTGATGAGGGTAGGACTGAGAGCTGGGGTCTCGGGGATTCCTGGGGGCTCCTGGGATTCTGGATGTCCAGGAGAGACTAACCAGGGGTGGCCCGGGCTTCTTCGGGCTGTTGACGGTAGGGGTGCCAGGTGAAGGGCGCCACGAGGCCAGGGCTCTTGTCAAGCACTTGATGTGCCTGTGGCAGCTCCGGGTCAGATTTGGCAGGGACTGGCAGGTGCTGGCAAGACAGGACAGGGTTCCTGCCCTCTGTGGAGCTCAGCTCATCCTCTGTCAGCCAGAGGGCAGCCTCGTCCCTACCAAGGAACGTCTGATCATCGCTCAGGGTGGGGGGTCCAGGTGGCTGTTCCTGTGGAGGGCTACAGGCTGAGCTCCCATCCAGGAGGGAGGCTGAGGGAGAAGGCGGGCAGCCTGCTGTATGGGGACAGGTCAGGCTCAGGGCCTGCAGACAGGTGCTCAGCTCTGCCTCCCTGATGGCCTGGTGGCCTTGACGCACCAGCTGTGGGGCACTTCCAGGCCTTGGTATCCTCTGACTAGGATGATCAGGCCGTCCCCGAGTGGTCTGGGGCAATGACCCGACCCAGGGAGAAGTGTCCAGGGCTGGGTCCTCATCTCCAGAAACCTCAACTGCAGTGACGAAGGAGACCTCCGAGGAGCAGTCCCAGCACCCGAGGGGGGCCTCTGAGTCCCCATCCTTGTCTGCACACTCAAGGGCGGCAGGGAGGTTGGGGGATCCAGGGCCAGACTCCAGGCCCACGTCCCCTCTGTCAGCTCTGCTCAGCGGGGCTTGGAGTGCTGTGGAGTCCAGTGTCACATCAGGTGGCGCAGAGACACCTGGGCCTGAGATAAGAGAGGGAGCGAGAGACAGAAATAGATTCAGATCAGACAGAAAGAGGAGATCAGAGTCTGGAGGAGAAGGGGAGTTGGAAGCAGAGGGAGCTAGCTAGACGGTGGCCATGAGAGTCAGAACCAGCAGGTGGCAGTCGTGCCGAAGACCATCAAAAACAGCTGGGGACCAGGGAAGCAGCGGGAGACTGGATGCCAGAGGCACTGGAAGCACCACGCGGCCGCGCAGGCCCGACTCACTGCCAGGCTCCGGCTCTGACTCTGGCTCCTGGGCCTCTGCCCGGGCTGCGGTCGGAGAGTCCAGCTCGCACAGGATGCGTGCGCAGTCTTGGTGCCCCTGCTGCACCGCTAGGTCCAGGGGCCTGAGTCCGTCCTGCGGAAGCGCGGTCAGCAGGGGGCGCCCGAGGACCTTCCCCCTCTTCTCCTCTCCCTCTGGGTCCGCCCCATCTTCTCTGAGGAGTTCCCCCACCTGGTCACGCAGCGCGGGGTCCGCTCCTTGGCTCAGCAATAGCTCCAGGCCGCGGCGACAGCCCCAGGCGGCGGCCACATGCAGTGGCGTCAACGCTTCGGCCGATCTGGGACGAGAGCGCAAGAGAGGTCACTGGAGACTTCACCTCCGGAGTAGGACCTAGATCGCGGGCGCTGAGAACTGAAGCCTGGGCCCTCGGTCCCTAAGATCCCCAAGCCCCACCCTCGGACACCAAGCCCCGGGGACAGATCCTAGTGCGTGCGCTCTAGGATTCCCAGGCCTCGCCTCTCGGGACACCCCGCACTGAGCCCAGGCTTCGCCTTACCGAGCGTTGGGGTCCCCTCCTCCGCGTAGCAGGACCCCGAGGCAGCACAGGCCTTTCGGGTGTCGGGCTCCAGCCGCCAAGTGTATGGCGGCCGCGCCATCAGTAAGCACCAGGTTAGGGTCGGCGCCGCGGCGCAGCAGCTCCTCCACTGCCCTGCTGACAGAGGGTCAGAGTGGACCGCGGCCCCATCCCGACCCGGTCTGCCCACCGATCCGACCCGGGCCCCACCCTCACCGCGGCTCCTCCTCCTGTAGCGCCGCCCGCAGCTGCTGAGCCAGGCCGGCCGCGGCACCCATATCCCGGGCGTCCCCGGGCCCCGCTGCCCGGCCCGCCGATTTCCAACTTCCCGCGGCGGCCTTGTGCGCACGCGCCGCCCCGCCCCGCGGCCCGGGCCCCCGCTCCCCGGCGCTGCACTGGCTGCTCAGCCAGGTCGCCCCGCGCCGCACCGCCGCCCACATCGGAGTTCCCGAGCCTAGTGCGGGTCCGCGACACGCACCGAGTGGCAATCGGGAGGCCCTGGCACCGCCGATAAGGTCCTGGGCACGAGGAGGAGGGCGGGTGTGCCCTTATCTCGCCTCAGCACCGAAGACGGACGCACCCTCCCGGGAGCGCTCCATCACAGAGCTGGGGAAGCCGCGCGGGGCGCCAGGGCGCTCGGAACCCTCGGCCACGGCGGCTGCCCTGAGCGCGCAGCCCCACTCGGGAGGCTGGTTCCCAGGCTGCCGCCCTAGAAGCCGTGCAGCGCCCGTTCCCGCCCAGCAGAGTCGGGAGTCCAGACTGCGGAGGGTGGGGCCTTACTTTCCCCTCGGCCAAATGCGAGAACAACTGTAACGAAAGAAAGGGGCATTTCAGCACAAGGCCCTCCCACTGTAGGTGCCTAATAAGTGCTGAAAAAGAGGAAAAGCAGTTGCTCAATAAGTTATTTCTGTTTTATGTGGAGCTGAGAAAATCTGGTCCATAAACTTCTCACAATTGCATCATCCGGGGCAGATGGTTGGGTGGACCTCAGTGGACCTCTCCTATCCGTCTTCCCGCCGCCAGGAAGCACCCACCTTAGCTCCTGGTGTTTGTTCCAGGAAGACGGGTGACCCTGGCCTGGCCAATCAGCATCCCAGAACCCTGGACCACAACCGGCTTCAAGGAAGTCCACCTGACCCAGAGAGGTCAACCCGGTCAGGGAGCTCACAACCCTCACTTCTCTGCTTTGGGACTTAGGTAGTGGTGGGAGCTACCTCACCCCTTTCCACGGGTTGGGGAGAAAGGAAGCAGGGCACACTAGACACCAGCTGGGCAGTTCCGGTGGCAGGGAGCTGAGGCACCCTTGAGCCTGAAGGTGCCACCTCGGCTTCTCATCCACAAGAAAGAAGCCGTTTATCCTCTTCCTTGCTTGATGGGTGAGTCTCTGTCACTTCCAACAGAGTTGATCCCAATTAACACGAGATTATTGTGGACCGGGGCTAAGGATTGTTAGATTTTTATTTTGATGACAAAAATCACATATAGAACAAAAGTTATAATGGAACAACCAGGAGTGGGTGTGGGCTAGGAACATGGAGGATGCGTGCCCAGAGATCCTGAAGGGCCTCCTGGAATTCTGGGTTTCTTCCCAGGGCTGCCAAGTGCCCTGAGTACCCCCTGGAACCCCTAGGAGTCCCCAAAAGCTGTTTGAGAACCAGCACTCTAGACCAAGAGTTTCCGGGGACCAGGCTGAGATGCACAGTGACGGTTCACACGGTGGCCTCGACCTCGGTGGCTTCTTCCTCCTCCTCCAGCAGGCTGTAGGAGGCATGGCTCTGGCACGGTCGCTGCAGTGGGTGGGCCAACAGCTTGGCCATGCAGTTGTGTAACTCCAGGGCTGGCCCCGCTAGGGCCACCTCATATTTGTAGCTGGTACCCTTGGTGTCCAAGCTGCCCATGAAGGCAAACATGTCCTGTAGGGGGCAGTGAGCGACAACTCAGGCAGACATTGATCCTGATCCACCCTCCAGGTCCCCCAGAAGGCTTCCCAAAGGAAGGGACATCTGGGTGGGATCTGAAGAGCGAAGACAAGTTTGCCAAGCTCCAAGCACACCCGCTGGTACCCACCCCAGAGGTCTCAGTCCTAGGTGTGTAGGATCCCCCAGCATAGAGAGCTGTCACATGACACCCCAGCCCACACGCTCGTCTTTTTCTTTTTCTTTCCAAGTGTGGTACTGGGAACTTAGCCCGAGGCTGCTGTACCACCAAGGGACGTCACCAGCCACTTTCATTTTTTTTATTTTGAGGCAGGGACTCTCTAAGCTGCTGAGGCTGACCTCCGATGTTGTGATCCTCCTGCCTCAACCTCCTAAATCGCCCAGCTATCTTTTTAAAGGTCTCTGGCAGTGCTGGGGGTAGAGTACAGTCCTCCCAGCCCGGGCGAGGGCTCTGCCCAGCCTGCACGCACAGCCTTCTTGACGGGGAAGGCTTCCCACGGGAGGGATTTCTTTATCTGGGTAAAGGTCTGAGCAGGCGCTGGTCTCAGCTCCTCCACTGAGTCGGATAAACAAATGCTCAGAGTGGCCAGTGAGGTCCCCGTTAGTTCAGGACTGAGATGTGCAGGGTCAGCAGAGCTTAAGGAGGAGGAGGGTGTGCCAGGCAGAGGGCACAGGAAGGCAAAATCAGGAAGACAGAAGGGGGGAAGCTGGGATGAGCTGGGCGGGGCCGAGATTCCCGGAGCCACTGTCCCAACAGTCCCCACAACTTTCAGTCACCACCAGCTGCTCACAGAGGAGCCGCAAATAGTTGTTGAATGACTGATGGCCACCACCCAGCTGGACCAGGGCTCCAGGGCTCAGGGTGCTAATATCCTAACTCCGCCCACCGGCCACCGCCCCTCACCTTCCAACTGGTCTCCTCCTCTTTCTCCTCAGCGCCATTGTGGATGTAAACAACATCAAAGAAGAAATATGGACACTGGAACATTCTCTGCCGGGGAGAAGACAGCCTGTGGGCTCAGGTCACCCCAACATCTGCCTCAGACTCCAGGAGTACCCTTCTAAGCACCCCAAGCCTGTGGTCAGGAATCCCCCCAGCATTCACCCTCCGTCCTGGCTGCAGGTGTCCCTCCCTCTCCCAGCCTCACCTTCATGGGCTCTGTCAGGGACAGCTGGGGCTGGCAGGGCGGGCGGCTGTAGACAAGGATGGTGCGGACCACGTACGGCGGCGGGATGGTCTGCACGTTCTCCGTGACAGGCAGCTCTGTCTTCTGCTGGCTGCAGAGCCAGAGGGGAATAGGTCAGAGCATGCTTTGGGGTCTAGCCCTCCTGCACCTCTGGAGAGCCCAGCTCCTCACTGGGCATGCAGGGCCCATCTGGCCCCTCCTGAGCTCACTGTTCCCTCTGAGCCATCCCATACTCTCCTCTGCCCCCAGCACCTCCCTGGACTTGCCCCGCCTGGTCTCTCCTACTACACCAGGGATGCTTCACTGATTACAAGGCCAAATCCTGTGCTGGCCACCTGAGGGCTCTGGGTTGGACCTGCCTATTGACACATGGCTTCCCATCAGGCCAGGGACTGCTTCCATGGGAACCAGATTTTTTTCCCCCCAGCACTGGGGATTGACCCTGGCTGGGGAAGTATGGTTTTTACAAGTTTTTCAAATGATTAAAAAATCTAAGGTGGAAGCTGGGTGTGATGGCGCACACCTGTAATCCCAGCAGCTCAGGAGGCTGAGGCAGGGGGATTCCAAGTTCAAAGCCAGCCTCAGCAACTTAGCGAGGCACTAAGCAAATCAGTGAGACCCTGTCTCTAAACAAAATACAAAATGGGGCTGGGGATGTGGCTCAGTGGTTGAGTGGCCCTGAGTTCAATCCCCAGTACCAAAAGAAAAAAAAGAAATCTAAAGTGGAATCATATTCAATAATACAGGGAAACAAGAAATTCCAACTTCAGTGTCCCTAAATAAAATTGTCCTGGCACACAGCCACACCTGCAGCAACAGAGGGCAAGAACCGTGACGGGGACCTTGGCCTGCCCACAAAGCTGAAAATATTTACTGATTCTTGACAGAAAAAACTTTGCTGACCTTTGGGTGAAAATAATTAGTGTGGAGCACTATGGGGCAGTCACAGCACTGACACAGAGGGCAAGACTCCAGGAAGTATGTCCCTTGCAGAAAATGTTCCCAGATAGATAAATGAGCAACTCTTGCAGGCAGCACCAGGCACGGGCAGGCTGTAGGACCTCTGGATTATCTCTGTGCTGAGTTTTGACCAAGAAAGATCTCGTTTGGTTTGCCTGGTTTGGTTTTTGTATTTTGCAGCACTGGGGATGGAATCCAGGGCCTCACACATGCTAGGCAAGCGTTCTGACACCGAGCTACACCCCAGCCCAGGACCTTCTCTTGGAAGGTGGATAACTTACATGAGGCTGAAGAGCCCTTCCAGATCTGGTGGGGATGCTAAGGAGAAGTCCAATGGCTTCGGTCAGACAGTCAGAGGCAGGTGGCTTCTCTGGATCCTAATGTCGGGAGAGCCCAGACCCACCAGCCAGGCTGTGGGTCCCTGGCAAGTGGCTCCCCTTCTCTGAGCCTGGTTCTTCTCAGCACAGACAACAAAATAAAATGCTGACACGGGACCCCTGAAGGACCTTGGTGATTGAAAGCTCCTCTTTTCCTCAGGGCTGGTGCCACTCTTCTCACAATTAGAGCCACAAGGGTGGGGGGGTCTCGCTTCTGTTCTCCTAATATGCATCAATTTTTTAATTCATGGGGATCATTTTCTATTTAAGTTTTGGGTCACACCTGAGCCTTTAATGTTCAGATTAGCATGAAATGTACTATGTCCAAATTAAAGAGACTCTAAGGGCAATTCTAACTTTTTAGTCACATACTGACATTTACTGAGCACCAACTGTACACCTGGTGCTGCACAAAGTATTCCCCGTGTGGATGCATTTTGGAAATCCCGAGTCCAAATCATCTGTTGCTGCTTCTGTATTGTTAAAGGTTGAGTGTCCCTTATCTGATATGCTTGGGACCAGAAGTGTTTTAGATTTTGGTTGTTTTAAAGTCTGGGAATATCTGTATATGCTAATGAGGTACCTTAACGATGCAACTGAAGTCTGAACAAGAAATTCACTTGTTTCCTACGCACCTATTATGCACAGTGCCTTTTGACAGTGACCGTGCCCAGGAGGTCGGGGTGGACTTCTCCACCTGTGGCCGCCGTGTGGGCACTCATCAAGTTTTAGACTTTGAAGCATGTCAGCCTGGGGATGCTGAAGCCCAAGGTCACGGGCCCAACCTGTCACAACACAGCTGGGACCTGAACCTGAGCTACCCAGCAGGCCCTCCGTGGCTCAGCCCTGCGGGCCCAGAGGGGA